ATTATGGTAAATTCAAAATATTTAATCAATTATTTCATTATTTTGTATTTAATAGTTTAATTTAAATTTATATTACCTAATTTTTTACTTAAAGATGAAGTTCTTAAAATCTATTCAATTATATTAATTGTCACTTTGTTGCCATCATTTTTTTAAGTAGACACTGGTCAAACTTTTCTGAGTGTGGTAAGAAATGATTGAATTATTGTACGTTTTCATTTCAGAGATGTAAATTGAAAATTACCATGAGATAAAATGCATTTTCTACAGGAAACACAAATATGTGGCCAAACAATTCACTTATATAGAACTGAGTTCTTATTTTCCTCAAGTCTGAAACACAGTTAACTTGTTTTTAAGGGCGGGGATTAAAAAAACAACTTTTTGAGTTTTATAATAATGCCATTCCATCGTGAAAAACACACCCAGTGTTCCTTTGACTCATTCATGCATGTTTGAGAAATCTCCTTGAATCTCCTGTGGCTGCCTGAATGCTTGCTGGTACAAAGCTCCGCCTATTTACACAAAACCCCTCCCTCAGTCTGCAACCAAAGTCCCGCACCACAGAGCACCCCTCTCCTGAAGCACTGCTGTGAAGAAGTGCTGAAGTGGGAGTAGGAAATGGTAGGAGGTTCTGAAAGAGACAGAGGCCAATTTCAAGGCGTTTAGACTTTGATGCAAAGTCAGCAGACAGCATTTTCATAACAACTGAAGGTAACAGTTACTTGATTGTGGTAAAGAATTGAACTATATGCTTGAAAAATGCACAACGCCACCTTTTATATTCAAACATCTCCTTTATGATAATCTTTTGTTYGTCACTTTAACTGCCTCCATGTGATTTTAAAATCTCTCTCTTTTTACAGCAAATGAGTAAATTGTCTCCACATCAGMGTGTCCCTCACTCTGTGGGTGCGATTAAGGACGGACGGCCCACAGCGGTTTCAACTGTTGTGTTAAAAAAATCAAGCCATTGTGGTCTTACCATTCGGACTTTATTTTTTCTTTGTGTATTTTTTGTTGCGGTGCTGTTTGTAAGTGCTTGTGTAACCGTGGGCGGCCAGTTTGTTTGAAACCTCCTGGTTATCTGCTCAACTTCGTCTCCTTCACCTCTCTCCGGGAAGTGTTTACAAGTTCTGCCTTTCTCAAAATCGCCAAAAAGGTTAGATGGTTTTATCACTGCTTTCACCATGTCGTTGTATCACGCCGCTGGCTCGTATTCCAAAACAACATAAGCGTCTCTCTCCAGGAGGAAATTTGCACAAGTAACTCCTTTCCTCWGTCAATCTCAGCACTGGCCTGGCCCTTGCCTTCCTACTCAGTTCTGCAATTCCTCTGAATTCAGACTTCAGGTGCTCTTGWTAATTTGACTAAATGTGTTTGCAGAAAACAGGAGTTTGTCAGAGGAGCCTAAAGAGGCAGAGATTAATAAAAAGTCAGCTGAGCATAAAGAAAAACTCCTCGTTTTAAATGTGGCGTCAAACCACCTGAAACTTAAACCCAATAGAAGCTGTGCAGTGTCAACTTTTATTATTTTTGATTCTTTTAATTAATAACACACAACAATCAGAAAAACAAGTACAAAAACATGAGAGGAAATTCAAAGCAGAGCACCTGTGAGTTTATGTTGCTGAGCTGGCAAACTGCTCTGATGGTGACAGCCGGCCAATGTGGCCGATAACGTGACGATGCAGATGAAGCGTTGGATGTTTGGTTTGACTCTAGCAGTGGGTAAATGAGGCAACGAGCAGAGTTATTAGGGTGAAGTGAGTCCCGTGTGGATGCAGGGCTGGAGAGCTACTGTTTGCTGAAGAGCTACTGTTTGCATTGAGCAGGAAGAAAGGGCTGCTGGAGCTGAAGTTGGAGAAGTCTAAATCAGGCAGCGATCTGAGGGACGGTGTACCTTCACATCCACGTTCGATCTGCCCGCTGCGAAACAGGGCGTCGTTCAGGAGGTCCGGCAGGCGCCCGTTGAGGTCCACTGACGCCAAACAACCCTGGAAGCCCTCCCTGGAAGCCACCAGTTTGGGCAGGTTCCCATACATGCCTGGACCCAGTCCTGCAATGAACAGATCACCTGCAGAGCAAACAGACAAAAACACACAGAGCAGGAAAACCCAAAGGTTGTCAGGTGTCCATTCAAACAGTAAACAAGTGCATGGTGTTCGTTATAACTGTCTTTAAATARGTTAGTATTCTGGTATCTATCTGCAACAGTCTGTTTGATTTATTTGTGTATTCAGGGGCGGAGCTAGACATTTTTGCATGGGGTGGCAGTGGCACAGGGGTGGCCAAGCTGGTTTTTAGGGAGTGCACATACAAATAAATAAAACTGCTCCGAATTTCAAAATTCAAGATGAGCACCACAGCTAACTTCAAATGTCTTTAATTTATCCATTTTAAGAAATATTAAYCTGAAATTTTGTGTGGGATTGTTGCTAAGAATGCTGATTCTTAGTCCCAACTAAGATAACAGCTAATGCTCATTCTAATTTCACAAATGTCTATCATAGCTTATATGCCACAGCTATTAGTGACATACTTCTGTTAAAATTTAGGCCACGAGCACCACATCCGGGTCCTGCCTACTGTGCATTTTTTTACCGTTAGCTCCTAGAACTAGACCATGAAAAAGTCACAAAAGTTAAAGCATTTGTGAGCTACTATAAAATGTGAGTTCTGTTGTGTGCCGTTGTGTCCACTAACCAGTAKGTACAAGAGAGTAGTTAGTTTTTCTCCATATTCCTCTTGATGAGGAGTAAAGGCAACAACAATAGATCGTGGCTATACGCAGGGAAAACTTAGCTATAAAAGCTCACACTCGCATTTGTAGTGGGCATTACAAACCTGAGGATATTCAAGAGCCAGCGTCAGAAACGAGAACATGGAGATRAAAGAAGGGAACTGTACAATTACCCCCTTCACTGCCAAGACCCGAGAGAGCAAAGACCATCTCCAGAGGACAGCGAGGAAGCTAACACAGCAGACTAGACYTCCAAATCACGATTATGCCACTACTACAGACTCTGCAGTTGTGGATTTAGTGCTGGAGGTAAATGACATTATCCGGGAGGAAATCTGCCAGCTCTGGGAACAGTTTGAGAGCCTGACGCTGAGGCAGCTGTTCGACATTCACCGTTTTGCTGCTTCCGTCAAGAACATTAGATTCTTCACAAGGTAGGGGTGTGTGTGTGCGTGTTTGTATTATACAGAGTATGAAATTATTTTAGGRKACTTTTTCACGAGTTTAGACAATCAATTTAAAGTCCAGACTCTGCTCTTTCCAACAATATAAGTGTCACTGCTTTACATGAAAAATCCACAGAACAAGCAGCCGAGGAATAATGAAAAAGGCTTAATTCTGGACGTCTCACCTTTGTTTTTTTATGGGTTTAATCAACTTTAGAGTAATTTTTTCCACTTGACTGGACTTTATTCAACTTGTACATCTCCTATGTTAACGATGGTACATGTACTATGCAAATCCTGTATTGTGGACAGCTGCCACTGAGTGAAAAAAGCCCACGCTAACACATTGTTGCCTGCGAACTGCAAGTGTTGTCTGTGGCCAAAAAGTATGGAAGTACTAGAATGGAAGTCTGTGGCATATAGGCTATTTAGTCATTTTTAAACACACATCTGAAAATGTGTGAAGTAGTACCCAGGAAATAATCTTCCGCAAAATCTGATTTCAAATACAAAATCCAAGATGGCTGCCAAAGCTAATTTCAAATGGCTACAACTCAGCCATTTTTAGGAATACTGAGCTGAAATTTGGTGTGGTGGTAGCCAAAAGCGACATCTTTGAAATGCCACATGCAAACCCCACCCCACTTGTCAGTCATTAAGGGGTGGCATCTAGGGTGGCCAATCAAGTGCTAGAAGTGCCACCACCCCTCTGGCTCTGCCTCCGTTTGCATTTAACCTTGAAAAGCTTGTACGATTTCATCACGAGCTGTTTGCTCTGCTCTTCCTCTATGCTGGTTGGGTTTTTAGTTTTTAACACATCAAATCTCAGCAGGTTTTTAAGCTGCTCAAGTTTACTCCCATCCAATAAATGGGGAAAATACTAAAAAGGAACTTGAATATTGCCAAAAATCAATAATGTTAGCAGATCTGGTACCCAAAACAGTTAAGRTGAAGTCATGTGACAGAACCTACCTTTCAGGTCCAGGTTCTTGGCCCCATTGATTGTCTGACTTGTGGCTGTAGCATCTACTTTCAGTGTGTGTGTATTGCTGTTGTCTCGGGTTATGGCCACATTGTGCCACTGGTTGTCGTTCAGCGCTCTCTCACTTTTGCCCTTGATCAGGTTGGGACCATTCCCAAGATCAAAAACATAATGAATGTACCTGCAAAACATATTTATTAGAGAAATATGGTTGTCTTCAATCCAGCATCAAGGTTTTCTCTTTTTCACTTAATGAAAACAAATATTTTATGCTGATGGTTAAAAATGTCAAAAAAATGTCCTTTCAAAATAAAACTCACCCTTTAACCAGCTCCACCGCAATGAAATCGTTACCATCTCCRGAGTTGAAGATGATGAAGCCGTCGGCGGAGGTGGTCTTGAACTGAAAGAACAGATGCATGGATGTGTAGGCCTGCAGGGTGGCCAGGCTCAGATAGCTGCTCTTAGTCTTGAAGGTGACGGGGTCGGCGATAATGGAACGGACCCCAAAACGAGCATTCAGCTCGCAGTAATCAATGTCTCCATTCTTGCACAAGTCGATGTAGAGCATGCCGTTAAATCTGAGGGGAGGGAAAGAACGGGAACATTAAAGGTGCGGATCATTTTGTTCTTTAGGGTATGGACTGTGGAGAACATCTTTTGACCTTGTGAAATCATTAAACAGGAAAAATGTTCCTCTGGGCAGGATACAACTTTATTTTTTGGATTATAAGACTTCTGTTTGATAGTTTTCATGTTCGGTCAAAGAATGCCTAATTGAAAACAGAATTTCTTGGTCGGCATATCAAACATACTGACACAAACAACAGATTAAACGCAGAACAATAATGTTTGGTGTAACGTTTTTAAAACGTTCCTTAAGGCAATGTAAACAAAGGCTTTTGATTCTGATATCCACAATGTCTAGAACTTGTGTACAAGTCTGCCAACTCGTACACAAACTTTACTTCAAGTTGTTACCATTTCGTACCCACACATTTTCACACAAACTGAGACGCGCATGGACCTGAAGGCCTTTGGGTTGACTAGTTTAATGTCATGAATTGAAAAGCTGCAAAGTTTATTTCTAAAATGACCYCTGTCTTATTCGAGTTTAGAAGCAGAAAATRCAGTCAATTTATGTCTCATGTTTGTAGTTTAAGTAACTGATTAGATTCATCAGGTTTCATGGATAAATATAACTAAGTATCATCAGCATAGCAATAGAAATTTGTCCCATGCTGTTTAATAACTTTACCTAATGGAAGCATATATAAAGTGAAGCGGATTGGTCCAAGCACTGAACCCTGAGGAACTCCATAACTAATTCTGGTGTAAGGAGAGGATTCATTATTAACATTAACAAACTGGAATCTGTCAATTAAATAAGACTTAAACATTTCAGAGCTGTTCCTGTAATCCCAATATCAAGTTCAAGCCTCTAATATTGTGATCAATTGTATGAAATGCAGCACTGAGGTCTAACAGAACAAGAATGGACACAAGTCCACTGTTTGACAAGACAAGTATGGACACATGTCCACTGTCTAACAGGACAAGAATGGACACAACTTTCACCAGTGACTTTCTGTGCAATGATGAGCTCTAAACCCTGACTGAAACTCCTCAAATAGATTATTTCTGTCCAGATGTTCATACAATTGATTTGCAACTATTTTGTCAAGAATTTTTATTAATTAGATATGGATCTAGGTTTATAGTTGGTCAGAACTCTTGAACCAAGATCAGGTTTCTTAAGTAGAGGTTTAATTACAACAACCTTAAAGCTCTGTAGCACATAACCATTCATTACAGACAAATAAAGCAAATCTAAAATATGGATATTATCTTAGAGGCGTGCATTGACCTGTAGGCCTTCAGGTTGGCGATGTGACCTCACATGCAGAGGAACCAGCTCTAATGTTGTACCAAACAGTTTACATTTGAAAGTACCTAAGGCTCTGCAGATGGCCAATGAAGCTGGACGGGACGGCGGAAACAAAGCGGCGCTCGGTCATCATGCCCGTTTCGATGTTGTGGAACTCCAGCCGGGTGTGATCTCCCACCATCTGCCCTGTAGACGGGGAGGGTGGAGGGGATGGGTTGAAAAGAAAGACAAAAAAACGAAAAGAAAACAGAACACTGTCTGACACTAACACAAGAGGGCTGATTTAAGGAGAAGATTACAATAAGAGTATTAGATAAAAGCAAACTTGTCACTAATTGTTTCACAGCTACATACGCTCATTATTCTGAGAATTATTGGCAACATGCCCCTGCAAGGTGAAATTACACTAACAAAGCAACACAAAGAACATTTCCAGGTGAAGTACCTTCTGTTACAACATCGTCAACCGTTAGCTTGTAGGCTTTGCCTCGACGCACCACGCGCACTGTATGCCATTCATTATCATTGAGCTTTTGCCCAGCAAACAGGGTCTCCGGTCCCTTGCCTGAGAACAATGGTCAGTCACAAAGTTAAGGACAAACTGAGCCTTAAACCAAACCTTTGTTTCTTCTACAGCTCAGTCTGAACACATTCTACAAGCTGCTCAGAGGCACGGGGGAAAAAACTAAAATAAAATAAAATAAAATAAATTAACTTCTGACAAGAAAACGTGGAATTCATTCAGGAAACAAAGGTTTGGTTCAGTCAGTGAACTACACATAAAATTACAAAAAACATCTACGTTCTTATCAAAACACCAGATTTATGCTGCAGTGAGGAAGAATCCTGAAGGAGAAATTGCTTTTACTCATGCAGGCTTAAAGAAATCTTCCTCTTTTAGTTCATTTTGTTAGATGTATGAAGTTTACCTATGAACGAACAGTGAGGTCCTCTCAAGTGATGAGACACTACTTGGACTTTAGATCGTTTACACACTTAACATATTTAATATTTCTGTTTGTGTTAGTGGTAAATCTAAATTMACCAGTTGTTTATTTCATTAAATGAGTTTCCTAAAGAACGTAAAATACAAGTTCAGTTTAAAACTATAGATATTCCCTTGGCTTTCCAAAATATTCATCCCCAATCTTTCATCCAAACTTTGGAAAAGCTGATGTTGGGAGTCGTTTCTTTTATATCATAGATTTAAAATCACTGAGGGAGAAATATTTTTCGGATACAAACTAAATTTGCTGGTTGGATTTTGGAAATAAAAAAAAGGTCCAAATGTGAGAATTTAATGGGAATGTGGAAATATTTGTGTTTATCAGTATTTTGTGAAGAAATTACTTTATGAACCTCTCAGAATAAAAAAGCAGTTTTAGTTAACAAACTCATTATTATATGAACGTTTGTTTTGTTTGTTTTTTTACTTTAAGTTAAAATCAAAAGAGTCAAAGATTTTTAAAAGCTCATAAGTAAAAGCAATGGTAGCAGCAGCAGACATAATTTACATAGAGAGCTAATTAATGCACTATCCCAACTGGGTATAACATTAGTAACACATTAAACTGTTTATAAAGTTAAATTATTTATAACATTATAGCATAATATTTATTTTTAACAAAAACAAAGGCATTTTATTCTGTGAGGCAAACATTAAACACCATAAAACCTGTCTCTTTATAATTTCTTTCAGAACATGATTTTTATATAAGTGAACTTTTGTTTATTATCATTTTAACTTGTTTTAATTGCCAGTAATTTTTTTGTAATGTTTATCCAGGGACAAAAGTGGTGAAAAAGAAAAACAGATGTTCTGAACATGAATGTGAAAATCACAACTTTTCATTTCACATTTTCCACTTTTCCACAGCTTTTATTGATTTGCTGTGATCTWAATCCTTGTAATATAGTTTTATATCCATTATTGTTATTAACTTTCCTTAAATGAGCAAAGTGAACATGTATTAGTTTGTGTTGAAAAACAGGTAAATTTTCAGAGATGGATTTAAATTAAAAATACAAGTTAAAAAAGAAAACAAACCCTGTAGAGGTCAACCAAACACTAAAAAAACCCAGTAAAATAATCACAACTAAACATTTAAATTTGTAATTTAATGAGATGTACAACCTTAAATTAGAAAAAGTTGGGATGTTGTGTAAAGGTAAAGAAAGCCAAAATTCGCAAATATCATAAACCGTTATTTATCCACAAACTAGTCCCGGATTAAGCTCCAAAGTTTTTTATCAGTCAGATTCCAGTGTGAAAAACATCTGTTTGACCCCCTTTTAAAAGTTTTTGGCTGTTTGACTATTTTTATAAACTGCTGATTCCTGGTACAACAGTCAGCTGTGGAGGAGAGTCGCCTTTTTTTAGTGAGTGGTTGAAGCAAAATGCAGCATCTTAGTACTTTCATCACAAACAAACACTCCCACAAACTTCTGACCAATCACACAATAAAGTTCTTACATGTTCTTATGTGGAGGGGGGTAAAAAGATCAACCCACAGGTTGCGACGAAGCTACCAAAATGTCGACAATGCGAACAGAACGACGCAATTTTCTTCATGAAACTGCGACAGTTCTGCACTATTTCGGCAGTTCGGCTGCAGCCTTTACAGTGTTGTTCGCGTATGGCTTCTTATTTGCATGATAGAGCTTTAAGCAATGTTTGTGGCACACTGAACTGTGTTAGAAGAGTGAGACTTCTACAGACTTCTAAAATCTTTTGATGATATTGTGAGCTGTAGATGATGGGTTATTTAAAGTCTTTCTGATGAGGAACATTATTCTGAAACTGTTTTTAACAGTTTTTCTGCTCATCTACACCTCAGAGATTCYATCTCTAAAAATTGTTTTAATATGGCTGCACCAATCAACATGAAATTTGGCAGGAATGTAGATGAGTCCGACCTACACTGAGCCAGCCAACGGTTTTATGATACACCCCATATTTGAAGAGGGGGCTCCATCTAAAATGGGGCTGTCTAGACATACYAAAATGCTTATAACTCAAGAACTATTCAACATAGGAGCATGCTGATCGGAGGAGGCGAATTCCTGATTTATTGCAAAATGAAAGCGATCCTGACAGCGGTCCAGACCATTGAGAAGCTGTCAGGTGCAGTGGAAGGATTCTGCCGGGCTGGAAGCACACAGACRCAGTTGCTGGGGGAGATAAATTGCAAACTGGATGTGGTTTTGACGAGAATTGCATCACAGGAGCGAGCCTTGGCACGTGGGTGAAGCTTCAGATGGTGAGCTGACTGGAATTTTTCACCACTTTCAGAGATGCAYTTAAGATATTAAAAAGCAGCAGGAAAATTTGAGGCTGTTTTGTCCCAAAACAATTGTGTTTATCCATTCGGCTCCCAGTGGCTCGGCCTCGACTACCATGCTATCTAAACTCCYCAAGGATGAGATGTCAACAAGGCCTTGATTCCCTCCCACCGTCCCATCCCCCATGTTAGACCTMGCCTGTGAACCCAAGYCCAAGGAGGAGGAATCTCTGAASTCTGGCGAACTGAGCATGGAGACAGTAACATCATGGACTCTGGAGGGTGCTGGTCTCAGGCTCTATCAAGGAGATCCACCGGCTCCACTGAACCCCGCCCCATCTCACGTTACCTGACCTAGCTCCCTCACTTCCCCAGTTGTCTGCTCTGTTGCGAGTGCTTGTTTTTTCTTTTTGTGCATACGATTTTATGTTTCTGATGTAAATGTAGGATCAGAGCAATTTTTTTAACTCATCTCTCCTACTGTGTATTTCCAGCTGCAAATCGTAGCGCGACCGGGTTGCGCATGACCTGTTCCCCCATGTTTGTCATYTACGTCTTCTTGAATGGGTGTTCTTAACTGCAGTTTTGTTCTACATTGCATCCCTGATGTTATGTGAATGACAATAAAGCGAATCTGAATCTGCATTGGTTCTTTGCGTACCTGCAGAGGTCATATATGCTAGTGSTATGCAGTATCTAGTTTTGAAACCTTTTGTTGTATTAAAGTTTTAGAAACATGTTGGGGTCTCAAAGATGGTACCTTTTTTAAGTTTTAACAGTTGATGAATTTCTATTGTTTCATTGTGAATGAAAAATGGGTTTATGAGATTTGGAAATCGTTCCATAATATCTTTATTTACAATTTTTCACCACATCCCAACTTTTCCATCATTATGTTTGTGCGTCCCGTTAAAAAAAGATCAGAACTGTTTAGGTAACACCACTATGAGTTTTACTGATGAATTATTGGCAGTGAAATTTTCAAACTCTAAACTCCTCTACGATTAAACGAAGAGAGGCAGTTCTGTTTGGACATTTTTAGGAAAACAAGAACAAGAACAAAACAATCAACACAGAGAGCAAAATGAAACTTGAGTGTTAACTTACTGGAGTTACAGTTTATCCTGATACAGTCTAGATGGGGAAGAATAAATGACAGATGAAATTGCATCCTTCAAGGTTACAGCTGCAGACATCCAAAAACAAAAAGTCCACCCTTCCGGGGACGTACACATGCGGGAAGGCGGCCATTTCTAGTTTTCTGCTTTTTAAAGTCAACTTTTAACCAGATCATTGTACAAATATGGAGAAAAGAATGAAACTTTTCTCATTTGAAGAGTTTATGCGTGATTTTTGAGCACCTGTACTCGTTATAAAATGGCCACTGTGGTACCAGCTACGAGGCTTTTCCAACCCAACATTAACCTCTAACCAAATAGTCAAAGTATTCACATTAACAAAAAGGCTGCAGTCTTTAGTTTTGGTGCCAAATTTCTTCGTGAAATAGAAGAAAATTGCAGTTTGATTAGCTTTTCAAACAAAGAATAGAGCGAAATGATGGGATCTGAGATCTGAGCAGCTGCAGCGTGGGTCGGTCACCACGTGGCTGATGGTTTCATGTGTCGTCAACCGCAACAGAAAAGTGGGAGCAAACAGCCGCGATCCAATCAGCACCAGCACCGTGCAGAGGCACAGGATCCCCAACCTTCAGATCTGGAGAACTACACTGCCCCTATTTGGCWCTAAGCTGCATCAAAAGCTGAATCTAGAACATCTATTTGACACAAAGCGTGTTGAAAGTTACACAGGTGATAYGCTAACAAGAGATAAACTGAAATCTAAGGTGCTGAATGCAATCAGTAAGAATCTATCTAAATGAGATTATYAATTAGTTAATGCCTTTTAAAACTACTTTTGCTCTTTTAAGTAACTCACTGCATATAAAGGGGATAAATTGAGTTTTGTGACAGGAGTCATGTGTCGTCATTTGTTACGGAGACATCTGGAGTGTTTGGCGGCGTGTGGGGTCGCAGCCAGCTGCAGGTTTTGCTGGGCTCTGTTCTCGGGCTGTTCGCCTGACGGGCCGCAGGCTTAAGGCCTTTGAAGGGGTGAATACCATCTTTTGACAAAGCATGATGGAAAAAAATGGAGGTGACAGGTAAACCAAAAGAGAATAAGACGCTGAAAAAAGCACACAGTTCCATTAAAGATACTGTTGTTAGCAAAAAATAAATAAATAAATAAATAAATAAAGAACATATGCAGAGTAACAGGAAGTGACTTCATGTCAGAAAACAACGTTAAAAATACAGAGTTTCTTCCAATATTCTGATATTGTTTATAATAATCTGATTATTTTTGATGCAACTATCTCAATGTGATTCGTAAAGGTATAATTTTCTGTTTTTACCACTGAGATTAAACAGTGTACTCTCATGCAATYAAATATAAAACTATAATCTATCTAAAGTAGGTAAAAATCTTTCAGCTGACAGCGATGAGGAACTGATYAGAAGATGCTCAAAGACAGAACGAAGGAAAGCCAAGAACTGGAGACGTTACCGCCGAGTGGTAAAGCGTCTCAGGGTGAGGATGGAGGTTGGGAGGCAGATGAAGGGAGAGGGGAGGTGGAGGTGAAGGTGGTGGTGGAGGTGGGGTGGGGAGACATACGATACCTAAGTTGACTGTGAGTTTAACGCAGCTGCCGTCCAGCTCGAGCCGCAGCGTGTCGGCCGAGTCCTTGGAGGTGGTGGCCATGAGGAGGCCGTAGGCCCGCTGGGAGCGGAAGCGCAGGGAGACGTCCTCGGCCTCCGTGTGCATGATGTTCGGCATCACCACCTTCATGTACATGCTGCCGTCATAGGAGAGGATGGAGGCCTCTGCAGGGGGACGGTGGGGCAGGCGTTAGCAATTATCACTATAATTAAAACATCTCGTCCAGAACTGATGCAGAAAAACTGTTCCATGCTTTTATTGCCTCTGGGTCAGAAGGTTTCCCAAACTTTTCACAACATAGCCCCACCCAAACAGTCTGCTACAAAATATGTAAAGAAACATACATTTTTAGAAAGTTTTTCCTGACTTGTAGTCATGATTTAACAATTTTTACATTTATTTAGCATAAGAATGTTATTAACTAACATGGTTTGAACTTTATTCCCACTGAAAAAAACAATTGTTGACAATAAGAGCTAAATAAAACTTCTCTTAAGCTCTCTTAAATAACATTTAAATACTGTATATTATAAATTATATTTCTTAATTTAATTGAAAATCAGATAAGAAGATAATGATTAAAATATTTAACTTTTTTTTTTAATCTTCCCTCCAGCTTTCTGAACTTTTATAGCACCCTCTGGTGGCCTCCACTTTACAAAACACTAGACTGGATTACTGTAATTCTTTATTATCTGGGCATCCAAAAACCTCTTTAAGAAGTCTTCAGTTAATCCAAAATGCTGCTGCTAGAGTTTTAATGAGAGTTGGAAGGAGAGATCATATTTCTCCAGTTTTAGCTTCTCTCCACTGGCTCCCTGTTAAATTTAGAACATAATTTAAAATATTACTCCTAACATACAAAGCTCTTAACAACCAAGCTCCATCATATATTAAACATCTTATTGTTCCATATTTTCCTAACAGAGCACTTCACTGTCAGACTGCAGGTTTACTTGTGGTTCCTGGAGTTTCTAAAAGTAGAATGGGAGGCAGAGCTTTCAGTTATCAAGCTCCTCTCTTGTGGAACCAACTTCCAGTTTCTGTCTGTGAGGCTGACACTCTGTCTACTTTTAAGATTAGACTGAAGACTTTCCTTTTTCATAAATCCTGTAGTTAAGATTTAGGTTTCCTGAATTATTCTTCATTTCTGCTGCTATAGACTTAGACTGCTGGAGCACAAACTGAGCACATTTCCTCACTCTGCTGTTGTCTTTAGTCTCTCTTCTCTACATGTTTGTTATAATTACTTATATCAATAATGTGTTTTCTTTGTCTCTCTTCCAGAGGAAAATACACCTGGACCAGTTCTTCTGTGTCTCTTTCCTGTCCTCCAACCAGCCGGTCGAGGCAGATGGTCTCCTGTCCTGAGCCTGGTTCTGCTGGACGTTTCTTCCTGATTAGCAGGGAGTTTTTCCTCTCCACRGTTTGCTCAGGATGGGAGACTGTGACGAAGTGATTCAACACAATCTGCTGGCTTATTTAGATTTATTGTTTTTGTGTACAGTGCTCTGAGTAGACTTTTGTTGTGACTTGAGTCTATATAAATAAGTAAATTAAATTTGCAGTGTCGGTCCCAAACACGGACAGCTGAAACTGTTAAGACTTTTAAATGTATGCATAAAACTCATCTTTACTCCTTGGCCTTTTGTTCTGGTAGAGCTTGAGATTCGAGTCAACATGTTAATGTTGCATTTATTTCTTTTCTAAATCTATCTTACTTTTTAACATTTTTTGTGTAGTTTTGTTGTTTTATTACTAGGCTGAATTGTGAAGCACTTTTGGTCAACTAACATTGTTTTTATGTGCTGTATAAATAAAATTGACATTGAATTTAATTCAATTATCAGCTGAGTTTTTATCAATTTGCTCAACGACTTTATTCCACTGAAGGACTTTAAGTTGCCACTGAAAAGTTTTAATTCCAGCAGAAAATCTGAAAAACAACCAGAATGAAGACGTTGCTGCATCATCACAAAAGGAGTAAAAGTTATTTTTATTTTCCTGGGAATGTGATGTTCTTCTGCTTTACTTTTATTTATGGGATTGTAAAAAATATTTCCATGTAACTCTATTGATTGTTTTTGTGTTTGCAAGTTTAATAAACTGCARTATCCTCTTTACAGTAAAAAAAAGTGCATATTCCTGGAGGTAACTTTAAGGTCTTTATTTCTTAAAATAATCTTTCAGATTTATTAAAAAAAATATCCCCTCCTCTTGCCTGCAGTTGTTCCATTTCAAACAGCTTTCCTCCTGCAGGGCTGCTTTTGTTTTCCTGCTTTCAGTTTGACTCAGACGTGATTATTTCTTCTGTCAAAATAACTTAATATGATAAATGATCRAATAAWGCAGAGAGGAATTACGTGTCCTCTYAACGCCCTTTTGTTCAATTTTGCTGCATGATGAGGGCGGTGGTAGATCAAACGGCCGCAGGGGGGAGACACAGTCCACTTGTCTGCTCATAGCTGTGTTATAACACAAACATCTAAACCACTCATTACAGATGAACAGATATTTAACATTGCATGTCTTTTTATAGTAAATTTCTCTGTGTATGTATGCTCAGATGCAATAAATGTACAGTGAGAGGAGGATGGCTCAGTTTGATGATGTAATTTAAAAGGAGTGCCATATTTAAAGGGATAACTTGGTTAAAACTGATGTTCTGTCAAATAGTAACTTATTGGCTGTGACACCAATCAGAGCACAAAGTTTGTAGAAAAAGGCAGAAGTCTGTCCAGAAAAGGCTGTGGCAGTGACTAACTAAAACTGCCTTTTTTTTRCTCTTTCCCTGCTTTATGACTCATGTGCTGATGAGGTAATAACTAGTGATCACTGTTTGACAGAACATCATCTAAAAATTGACTAAACTACCCTTTTAAGTTCTCATTGGGGCTTTAATGTGGTCTGTCACATTAACTCTGACGTGTCACGTCTCTTGGATGAGAGAAGGTCGCAGCAGGTTGTGCTCCAATGACTGATGCACTTTAAATATCCACTTTATAAATAACCTATAACACACCTTAACCTCGTTTGATTCACACTAATATTTTGCATCTCTGTTACAGGAAACTGTGAAAAGCGGATGARGTATAAAATGTAATACTGTTAAGCAATGTGTCACGACTGAAGTTCCTCTCCTGATGTGGAAAAGAGTACAATATCTGTAGCTCATAATTACAAGTGTTTTTTTTTCTTTTTCTTCTTAATCTTGTCATCCCTAAAATGGCTGAGCTGTATCTCTGCACTTTTTGACTCACTTTATATGCACAGATCTATATAAATGCAAATTGGTTCCTGTGTCTGTCTCTACAGATCAGCCAAGTCTCCTCACACACGTTATTACTGCACTGGACTTCATCTCTATGTTAGAACTGAAAGTATCAAATAGAGATTATAAATATACAGATGTCTGTTTTGCTCTCTGAAACCTTTGACAGCTGATTTACTAGTTTTCATCAACATGTTTCCTAATCACCTGTTCAGATACACTGAGGTCGGCAGGATCAGTTTGTCAGATTAGTTGAAGCTTTGGTGTCTTTGCTTCGTTGCAGTTTAAAAGCAAATAAAACAATGATTTTTTTGAGTCGTCACTTTAGCTTCAACAAAACCAAATTATCAGCAGGTTAAAGCAGCTTCTTAGTTAAAGAAATGTATTAACTAGAAGCACTCAGAGAGTGCAAACCTCCGCCAAAACCAATTTCCTCATCCTGTAAGAGTTAATGCGCAAAAGCAGAGATGGAAACACATTTGCTGAATAAGTTCTGATGTGTTGAACATTTAAGCAGCAGTATGCACAGGATTTCTTCTCGGTGGAGTCCAATGTGAAAAAACAAAAGTCAGACTGGTCACCCGATGTTATTCATCATCAAACTGGTGTGGGATTAAGCTCCTAAGTTTTCATCAGTCACATTTCACCAAGTAAAATGTCTGTTTTATCCCCTTGTATGAGTTTGTAATGGTTTGACTCTCTTCATTTCTATGCAGATGATTTAGTGATCTACTGCTATTCTTCATCACTTGTACAGGCAATTCAGTATCTGCAGCTCGCTTTTAATGTAGTTCAAACCCGCTTACAAACTCTGAAATTAGTTCTAAACGTGGATAAGACGAAGGCAATGGCTTTTTCAAACTCTAGAAAACCACCAGACGTCCCTCTACTGCTTACCACTGCTGTAGGGACACAAATTGAGTTTGTCAGTACGTATAAATATTTGGGCTTCATTTTAGATAAAGAACTTTCTTTTAAAAATCACATA